GTATATTAACTAGGTATTATCACATTTATATATATATATTCTATCGCATTTAACTAGTTAATATATATATATATATGGATAGTTGATATAATTTACTTTCATATAAGTTATTTCTTTCATAAAAATTTATATATTTTCATTAATTAAATAATACATACATAATCAAAATAACATAGAAAATAGAAAATTATTAACTATTTATTTAAAAAATAGTTTAATTATAAAATAATTTATATATAAATTACATAAATCAATTTCTTTCTTTTAAGCTAACATCTTTTTTACATACTACATTAGAAGTAAAAGTGATAATAATTCGAGTTAAGATATGTTTAGTGATTAGACAAGCAAAAAGAAATTCTCTTTCAACGATAGTATTAAGATAATTCTAACATCCTGTTGGCTTTAATTCTTATAGAATTATTAATTTAATTATCAAATTTCAATATTTTTCATGATATAGTTTATTAACTTATTATTAGAGTACACTTTTCATGTTTAAGCTCCTCCTAGTTTGAGGTTTTTGGATGAAAAATTATGTTTTTATCATACATGTATGTATACATATATGTAAATATGAAGAAAATCATAAAATTTTGAAAGTGAGAGCAATTATGAATGGATGAAATGAAAATGAAATTTTGATTAAGCAAGGAAGTAAAAAGATTTTTGGCCAATATCTCTATAATTGAGAACGCATATATATATACACACACATATATGTATCTCTATATGTATTATCTTCAATAAACCAAAAATTAAAAATAAAACAGTACTATAATAAGTATATCTATACATGTACATATATATGTATATATACCTTGGGTATTTGTTGTTCTTGACAGGTTTTTGGCCGTATTTTCTCCATCTGTATCCATCATCAAGAATATCAACTCGACTTCTTGTCTGAAACGCATATCTTTGCTTCTTCATCTTCTTATCTTCTTCCTTCTTCTTTCCTTCAGCTTTGCCTTCAGTACTACAACTGTTATAATTAGTTGCAGACCCACCATGGATCTTGATCCGATCATCACCATAGACACTGTTGATCATCAAATCTTGACGATCATGATCCAGACCCAAAAACCCATTTCCAGTTGATCTCGTAACTTTAAATTCATTAAAGCTGTTCATCACCACGTTCGATGACGAAGTTGAACCAGAAAATACTACTGTTGAATACTTGTCCATTATGGGTACAACGATGCTCCAATCTCGCTGACGATATATATATATATATGTGTGTGTGTGTGTGTGTCGGTAATACAGTATGTAATCTATAAATACGAGATCTAGTTATAATAAATGTCCATTAAAATTATTAACACAGTCGAGAGGCGGCTGGATGGCTACTGCTTCTAGGGCTCCACAGCTTATTTATCCCACGTTTGGTGCCGTGAAAGATACGCAAGTTTTATCTTCTGTATTTATTTATTTTCTGAAAAGAATCACATGTAAGAAAAGGAAATTCATTTACTCAAACGAGAGAGCTATAAGAATTATTATATGTATATATATGTGTGTGTGTGTGTACATATCAATGAAGTGTGTAACGCCCCAAAAATTTAATTGAATCATAATACTGAATTAATAAGATGTTAGCGAAAGTAATTAAATATTTATGATTTATATTTTTTTGTACAGTTTAATCAAAATACTCTATAAAATTACGGAAATATTCTTTAAAAAAAATTAAAATAATAAAAAAATATATAACTAAAAACCTATAGACTTAATCTCCGCAACGTAATTGGTAGAAAACGGAAGTCACCCTTTAATCGCTTATTTTTTTACTGTTCTGCATCTAAATCTTGGTCGTTCTAATGCAAAATTATTAAATAAGGAGGATAAACTATACTAATCTAGTAAAAATATCAACACTTTATAACCGATATGCAAAATCAAATATTGGTAAAAATCGCAAAATAATCAATAGAGTTATTTTCTTTTTTAAGTCAATTTATTTAATTTTGTTAAAAAAGTTAATTTTATATTCACTTTTTAGATTACCAAATACGACTTATAAAGGGAAGAATCAAGATAACAATCCATTAAAAATATTAAGAAAACAACAATAATTAAACATTACATTTTTACTTACTTACCGGTATACCTAGAGATTCATAAGAGTTCCCACTATACGTAGACGTAATATCTAATATATTACTTAACTGGCCGTCCTCATGTCTCATCCGGTAATAGGCGTCAAACATATTACTACCTCAATACTTCATCCGATATGAGAGTAAACAAGTACTTTTTAATCCTTTCCGGTATGAGACTTTTTAACCCCATTCGACTGAGATAATGTCCATGATAGGGTTTGTCTTATGTACTAGGTTCGTACACCATTTTTTATGACACTAGGTAAATCTTCCATATACATATCCACATCATCAATCAACTATCAATTACATATGATAATCTTATTTCATAATTGCAGAACAATAGAACAACAATTAAACAAACAATATAATTTGATACTTTAATAGCTAAGAAAAACAGAGTCATAACATTTATTTCAAAGCAATCAATAGATAGGGATAAAACAGTTAAGTAAACTAATAAACGAGAAGACAATTAAAATTAATAAATTAAAGCATACGATGTAATAGTAAACAATTAAGGCAATATAGAAATAAATAGGCAACACAGATAAACTATACACTGACCAGTTATCGGTTCCATCACTGACCTGTATTTAATTAATAAAAAGTTGTAAATGTTCACAAATTTTACTGTTTAATATTATTTAAATTTTAATTAATTCTAATGGGAGAAAGGTTGAGGGATTCTTACTCTAGGTTGGTGTTCGAAACACTATCTTTTCTACTGCACTTCTCAACAGTTTTTGGATTTCTTGAGTTTTTCTGTAAAAACATAAACACGTGTTACATATATCAAAATACTCAAAATGACAAAAAATAAGGGTTTTAAAATTTTTTCGAGCCGGTTTAGGGTTTCGGCATGGCGACACTACAATGCTCCGAAGCTGGCTTCGCCGTCTATGACGGTGCTTCCTTTCGATCTGGCCGGTTTCGGCATGTCTCATGCGAAAACCTGCAAAAACTCGAGGTTAGTTGGCCTTTGTTGGCCGAAAAAAAAAATCAAAACATTACCGGCAGGGTGTTTTTTGGGTGCGATGGCGCCGCCGTTCCTCACTTGCGGATAGGGGTTTTTTTTTCCGGTCTTCCTACATCAGAAAAGAGTCAAGAATCTAATGATTGAAA